AAATGTATCTGCTAATCAATAAAAGCAAAGCTTTTCTTATTCTTTTACTAAACAAAATTATCACATGTAAAATTTAAAAAGTAGGGTTAACAATACAGTTTCTCGTTCACTGGACTAACAAACTGGCAGAAGGAAAAGGTCTGTCTGTGTGGGATACGGTATATTTGTGTGGGTGGCTCAGTGTCTGAGCACCTTAGGACCAGTTCACTAAGAGTTTAGGAAACATGAGGACAGTCTCAATATAGTGAACACTGCATTACAGCTGTAACATTTTATTGCGCTCCTAGCACAGAGTGAAAACGAAGAGCTCTGAACCATTACAATAATGCCTAAATACAAAGCACAAATGGAGAAAACATAAAACCATACATTAATGAATATAAAAGTCAGTGTATAAAAAATGGCAGTTCTTTATTTTGTTCATGTGATGTGTAACAAAGGCACAAAACAAATATAAGGCAACATAAAGAAATCCAGTGCTGCAACAGAATAACTTCAGCACTATAAAAAAGAATGATGGGGTTGTCACTGCCCACGTTTCAATGCACTGAGACATCAGTTATTTGGGAATTAAAGCTGAACATTTAGCTGTCTGCATAACTTTGACAAATGTGCTCCTTCTGTGGTCCCTGCAGCCTTTCAACTTTTTGAATAGGTTGCCTTCTGAAAGTTATCCACAAGGCACCTTTTTTCCTATCCAGACAACTAATCACCCAACCTGCTTACTAGAAACCTCCTCTGTAGTTCAACATTGACACCACCACACTGCCTACACCAGCTGGATAGGAGTGCTGGAAACATTTATACTGCTTCTTCCTGTCCAACACCGGTCATGTTGGACAGGAAGTGAGCCTTGCTCAGAGCTCTCCTTTAGCTGCCTGAATACTGAAAGCTAATAGAACAGCAGTGTTGCTGCTGACAACACTTGTCCACACTTGCAATTTAGGGTACAAATGGGAAGGTAAGCAGGGAGCTGCAACACAATTCCTCTACTGCCTTTCTCAGCGCTGTCAGGCTTTTATATATCTGCCATTGCTGTACTTGCAGGGGTACTGTGCCGTCAGTAAAACAATGCAGCTTTTTTCCCTCCAGTGCACAATCTCATAGTAGGGACACAGGAGTTCTCTGCTCCCCATCACCATTCAGTCCTGCCCATACAAGCTCTGGTTGGGCACCTTACATGTACAGGAAACCATGTAAAAGGCCCTGCCTGCCCCCTCCCACTCCATTCAGCTAGAGATACTTCTGATGGAAACCATGTGATAACCTCACAGGGCCTAGAAGTTTGAATTTTTGGATAGCAGAGCAAGATAATGAGACATTTTATTTCGAAGTTCAGCTTTAAAGTGAGCATTTATTGAATACTGCTGAGGGACATGTGTAGGCAAATAAATAGATATGGGAAGCATGGCAAAAGGAAAAGAAAATACTGTACTTGAAAATACTTGAACTGAACCTGTCAGTATGCTAAACATATAACATATCTTAAAAGGATCCTATCAGTCTTTAAAAATAGCCTAATGGCAGTTTCCTGCAATAGAAGAACTTTTATACTTACCTTTCAGCAGCCCATGTCTCGTTCAGCTCTGCACCCTCATCAGTCTGTTTAGCATTATGTCACTACAAAACACCAACTGCATAACTTATCTTTATCCTACCCAGTCAGCCCAGTTATGTATATTACTGATCCCACTAGCCGCAGAAACACCAATGTAAAAAATATCCAAAAAAAAGAAAGGAACATGAATAAAAATTATTAATTGTTTCACCTATTTTTGGCTGTAACTTTATATAAATGCATAAACGGAAATTTACCTGGATAGGTAAGGGAAACAAGTAAAAAAAAATGCATATAACATCAATATCTCAAGATGCATATTGACAGTCTACATTCCTGTCTCGCCCACACATCACAAACAGACAAGACCGCGGGGAGCCGGCCGAGGTGAAAAGGACATCATACAGCACAGCAGGTAAGTGAAACCACAACAGTCTTACCCTCCCTGTCTGACAGGCTGCACAGTATATGGAAAATCCGGCTTCCTCTCATGGAAACAAAGTTTGTCCTTCCCCAAGGGGACACCCTTGCACGGGGCCGAGTCTTGGAGACTTCCCAGGGGAGAGAGGCTGAACTCCCCTGAGGCCAATACGAAATCAATCAGTTGGCAAATAAAGAAAAACTTCTCAGTAACATACAAACAATCCAGTCCTAGGGGGACAGGAACAAAAAAGACTGGGGAAGTCATCAGGAGGAGGGGCTTTTATAGAGAGGGTTAGGCCTTGTTTAACCCTTTTGGTTCCTGTCAGCTAGGGGTAATTGGATCTAAACCCATTTGTCAGCGCTGCCATGGATATGACCAGGAAATTAGAGCCTTGTATGGTAAAAACAAATTAAAGATATGAAACATATTGCCATTCAATCCCCGATTCTCCATCTAAAGCATAACTTGTCGGGGTAGATTTATTTTTTTTAAATTGCACATGGTCATACAACTGTATGTCAGTTTTTCCGGTAGTATATGCATGAATTACTTCTATAGCCTTCAAGCGCCAATGAGGATCTGATGTTATTCCCCTTCAGGCAATGCTTTACAATTTAGTGCACATTCTAATAGTCAATTGCACAACAATGTGAATAAAAGTGAACTAAAAACTGCATGCAGCAGTTTTAGTCTATTGTGTTATCTGGAGGAGAATTTAACATATTAAAAGGTCATGGTTAAAATGTTTTAAAAGCCTTAAAAGGCATAGTCCAGCTTCTGCAAAAAAATTATAAATGCACACACATTAAAAAAAATGTGCATTTATTTGTACTTTTTTTTGCATTTGAGCCTGCAAAGCATTGCAACTGTCTTTTGTGGATTGCAAGTGCAATGTTCAGGCTCCTGCAGACCCATTCTTCCAGCCCCTGTCCATACCGAGATACAGACTTTCAGTTAAGGGACGGAAGGAAGTTTCAATGGGCAAGTGTGGTGACATCACTGCCCTTGTACTCCTTTGATAACGTCAAGTTTCTCTGACTTGGTGGTAGACGGGACTTGGAGTCTCTAAATTCACAGATCCTACTAAATTGAAAAAAATTAAAATGACTGCAACCTGCGAGGAGATAAGCGGGGGGCAGGTTGGGGGTGGGGGATGTGACCATGTTTCATGTTACACCCTAAATATGAGTGTAACATGAAACATGGTCAGAAAACTTAGCCTTTGGTCAGGCATCTTTAGCCTTTAATGCATTTCTAACATAATGTAAAACATACACATATCTGGGTACAGGTGTTTTCTTAAAGTGGGCCTAAGTGCAAAAAAAAAATAAGATTTTCTATCTGCTTTTGCTAGGGAAAATCTAGTAATAGTAATTAGGCCTAAGCAGTACACTAAGTAGTTTACATTTTGCCTTGAATTCCACCTGTAATATAGCAATGTATTCCTGTACCATTCCTATTATGTAGCCTTATAGCTGTATATTTGCAGTGTGAGAGGGACTGCTGCCTATGACTGCTACTCTCAAGAAAATTGTAGTGAGAATTGGTGATGACACTACTGCCCTTGCTGGAGTAAAATCTGTACCTGCAGAAGGACCTACAGACAAGCATCACACTGCTTCTTCTTAATTAATTCTGTGGATTTGTGTTTCTTCCACCTGTCTTGCTGCCTGGCTTGCTTGGTTCAGCTTCTACAGATCAGGTCCTCGTTAAAAATAAGGCTTAAATGTTTATATTCCCAAATACATTTAAACTTATTAAACAGTTTAAAAGTGTGCACACTTAATAGTCTGCTATGTCTATCATATAAATTCTGATTTCAGTAATAGATAATGTGTAATGATAAAAAAAACAAAAACAAACTGCATGAATAGGACACTGTTTTTATGACTTTCCCAGCACTACCTGTTGACTTATAATACATGAAAAGCTATTTAGTACACATAATTAGGGAATGTATGCGAATAATTCAGTGCTGTTAACAGTAACTGCAATTACACTAAAACATGGGATATTTGTCTGGTGCTTTGTGCCAGGGTTTCTCATACTAAAACATTGGTTAGCCAACCAGAGGATGCTTAATAGTACCATGCTTGTTGCAACCATCTACCTGCAATTATATGTACAGCTTCAATGGATATAAATCATTAGAGTAGCTCTCGTGCTGTTAAAAAAATAAAGCAATTCCATTTTTTAAGCAATAACCAAATAGTGCATATATTACTGCAGTGTATAATTTTCACCTGGCGTTTTACATATACGGGAACATTCTTTCTTAGCTTAGCTAAAAGGTCTGTAAACATTTTTTTCAGGCACAAGTTTGCTAGATTTATATTTAGGTATTTGGCTTAAAGCAGGTAAAGAACATGAACACTGCCAGAGTAAATAAATAAAGATGTGCATAGGGTAATGATGATGTAAAAGTATGGCAACACTGAGCAACTAATCACATTTTACCTCTCATTAGTACAGAGAAGTCAGTCAATTTAAAAGGTGACTCGCTGCTATAGTTGACAGTGATTTGTTCAATGCCTTTCTATTTACAGTGCATTTCCATTTTTGCAGCCAAATTGGGATAACGCCTACAGTATTTATGTGTTGCATGTTCCCATTAACATAGCATATGCTTAAAAAATCTTTTAAAATGCTTCTTGCAGTTTAAATCGCTTTTTCTTGGGTTAAGGTTTTATGGGTTAACATTTCTACTTGCTTATTTTTCTTCGTAATGTTAGGGGAGGCTGTGGGAGGTCTGAGGTGGCTTCTCAATTGTATGTTAATTAGGTGAATGAGAATGCTTAAATTTCAGTCTTAAGTCTTTCCATTAGGACAGATCACTGTGAAAGTGCTGAGAAAAACCTGGAATCAGTCATCTTGCCTGTGGCAACAAAACATCTAAAAAGGTAAGAAATATTTTTTTTCATTACGCTGTATGAATAGGATCACATAACAAACCTAGAGTGGGTTTTTCTCAAATGTGACTGCAACATTGGAAATACACTTTAAATCACATCAGCATTTTTTATTTCACATTGAGTTCTTCATCCAGTATGTGACTTATTTTATAATTCCCTTCTCTGCATTCACTTTTGTGCTTTTTCAGTGTTTGGGTCTTTGCATCTTTGGTTAAAGGTCTCTAGAGCACCTTTACAACAAGCAAATCACATTTACACTTGTCAAGTAAAATGCAACTGGGACAGCCTAGTACTTTCCAGAGATGCTTAAAACATCTATCTTAATTACAGGTCCGCAGCTTGACTTTCTCTTAACAGCGAGCAGTACAGAAGCTCTAAAGCAGTATTTGTGCAACTTGATAAAACGTGGTGTTATCTTCTCCTTGTGTTACTTTTCTGAAATATCAGAAAGTCAAATAAAAATACTTTAGGCTGTCAAGACAAGCATGTAAACTTCAGAGTCCCTCTGTAGTGAAGGATGAATTTTGAGTGAGCATTTGGAAGCTACCTGTGTTCTTTGTAAAAAAAGTTTTCTTAACAGGAAGGCCAACATGGAGCTCTTTCCAAAACCTGCTCCCTGGTTGTTTAGACTTTTCTCCTTTCCATTTAATAACACTGAGTACGGATTGAGCTAGCTTTAACTCCTTCACCTTCTGTTTGTTCTTAATGGCCTTATACTGAACTAACACAAGTCGGATATTGCCCTTAGAAGCCATGTTTTGCAAGCCGGCTTTCAATTCCAAGAGGGCCTGGGTACCTTGGTGGACATAACTTGGGCTAATCACAACAAGAAGACGTCGGCTTTTCTTAATGAAGCTCAGTGTCTCATCTGTAATGACTGATGGGAAAAAAGGAAATTAATTAGTGTATTTCAAGAATTCTTAACTGTGTTTCTAGAGAATAGGTGGTCAAAATGTAAATTACCAAGAAATCATATTTATTATCATCTAGTCCTATAAATGCCGTCAGGATTTGTTTTATCAGGTCCCCCGACATCACAGCGATGGCCTCAATGGGTGACTCAATGTCATCATGACACATCTGAAATGCTGTAATTACTTATGTGCATTTGAAATGTCCCCATTTTGTTCACTTAAGTTAATAAGGAGGCTCATTAGACGCCTCCACAGGCACAAGAACAATATGCGACTCCCCTTAAGCTGGGTATACACAGCACAAATTTCGTCCGGTTCCTGATGAACTGGCCAAAATTTGCACACTGTAGGTGCCGCTCTTGGCACCCTTTTGCTCGGCATCCCTCGGTCAGCTGTTTGAAGGAGCCAGTTGGAAAATTCTCGGCCAAATGGAGCAAGCAGTCAATCAGCTGCTAGTTTAGTTTAAGTATTCTGACAGTGGTCGGTGGCCACTGTCAGAATACAATGCAAACAGCGGAGATTTGTCCATCAACGCTCGTAAGCATTGATGGAGGAATCTGTTATATTTTCTTCGTTCAGCCTACAGGTTGAACGAAGAAAATATAAGTGTGTATACCCGGCTTTACTCCTGCAAAAGGAAATACAGCTCTGATGTGGACAGCCATGAGGACCCTAGTGAAGCTGTACATTTTGTGTTAAAGCATAATGTGCTAGCCCACTTATCACCTGCGCTGCACTGTCCACTTCCCCCTCTGGCATGGACACTGCCATCTTCTCCCGGTCTTCTTCCGGGTTTGGCATCTTCAGCCTATTGATTGGCCTTGCATGCGCAAGGGAGTTACCTCATCTCACCATGCTGTGTCTGTGCACTAAACTGTGCATGCAATTGCTGAAAGGCAGGTAGGAGATTTTGGCAAAATAGACTTTAACAGTCTCATATGCTTAAAAAAAACCTGCCTGTGAGCAATTTTTCAACTAGATCACTTTACTTCTATTTTAACGTTTTGTTACCACTAATTAGTCAATTACTCTGTAACTATTTTAATAATGTTCCAGGTTCTGTGATAATAGAATTAAATACAACATATAAAAATGGTATGGTGTGTTTTTATTTCATATCTTACACTAAACTATAACCACATGACAGTCTAGACAGTTTCCTCAACTGTTACATACATAGTCCTTACACCAGATGGTCACAGCAACTAGACATATGCTTCCTTACTAAAAATAAGAACAAGTACTTACGAAGAATAACGGAATTGTCTTACAAAGCCCCTCAATGGAGTTAAAAATAGATGATGCAGTCTGGTTTTCTGAAGTCTAACGAAAAGGTCATTTTAAAGACTCTGACTATATTGCAAGAAACAAAATAATTTGTTTTTTGACTGTCCAGATAAGGTAAGCTGTTACCATAGTTCACAGCAACTAAGTAGAACATGTCCACAAAAATCAAACCAAAAAATCACTGAGCCATACTTAAAGTGAAAATGCTACTTACTTCCACCAGGTAAGCTGTCTCTGTCAAAGATACACAGCTTGTACCCAAATTCATTTTCCAGAACTCCTCTCAGTGTCACTAGAACAAACTCTTCTTCCTCTGCATTCCTTGCGTAGGATACATACACATCATATTCCTTTCCATCTGCCAACAAATCACAAAATACAGTAGCAGGTTTGCATAGGTAAACAAAACACTTACTGGTAATAAAAATGTCCAAAAAAACAGGGCAATGTTAAAGAACAGGATGGATTTTATTTATTCACAAAGTTATTTTGTATTGTAATTACTTCAGTCTCACTGTAGTAGAATCAAAAAATAAATGTGAATCCACCCAATATAAATCCATGCCCTATTTTGCGGTTTATTTCTTCACCAGATCATAGATTTTTGCTGGCTATCTTAACCCCTTCATGACTGAGCTTTTTTTTAGTTTCTGTTCCTTAATGACTGAAGCACTTTTTACATTTTTGCTGTGATTCTTCCACGTCAGTCATATACTTTCTTACTAAGTGCACCTACACATATTATACAGGTGAAACTCGATTAGAATATCGTGCAAAGTTAATTTATTTCACTAATGCAACTTAAAAGGTGAAACTAATATATGAGATAGACTCATTACATGCAAAGCAAGATAATTCAAGCCGTGATTTGTCATAATTGTGATGATTATGGCTTACAGCTCATGAAAAACCCAAGAACCCCAAATCCACAACCTCAAAAAAGTAGATTATTACATGCAATCAATAAAACAAGGATTGTACATAGAACAATATCGGACCTCTGAAAAGTACAAGCATGCATATGTACTCAGTACTTGGTTTGGGCCCCTTTTGCAGCACTTACTGCAATTACTTTTGCAAGATATTCTAATTATTCGAGTTTCACCTGTA